CATTCCTCCATCACTCTTTCCCTCCTAATTCAGCGTTTGCGTGAGTCAGTAGGCCTCTTTGTGGCGTCTGTTTGTTTTCATTCGAGCTGTGTGAACTCTGCGGCGGGTTCTCGTTTTTCCATCGCTAACAGCTCAACAGCTCGTGGCGCTGTGGAGCGTCCAGCTCTGTGAGGCTGTGCAACAAGCATGTCTATAGATGCTTGACCACATCGTAGGAAACACTTCTGAGGGCTTGCAGGGGGCAGTGCAAGAAGAGAAACACAGATTAACATTAGCATGCATGCACAGTCTGCACATGCACAGCCACCTTGAGACTGTGCAGATATCTAACAGTAGACGTGCCCTGCAGTCGTGAGCAGTCTACGGTTTCTCAGCCTTCCTCTGAGCCCCGGCACAAAGGCAGCTGCAGGGCAGTGACAGGAGCTCTTCACGCTGTCGGTGCTGGACAGGTAACCTCAGCTTGCTCATTATACTTCAGCACTGGCCCTGGGCCATCGGGCTTTTGCTTAGACTGAACCCTGTGACCTGTGCCGCGAGTGCACGTTTGAAATGTACAGTATATCTTTGCATTGTGAGATGTAAAACCAAACGAAACGAGTTCTCTCTGTGGCGTCAGCTCCGGTTAGAAACAACAAATCCGTCCTGCAGCTTCCCAAATAACACTGACTGTTATGTCTGTGACTCAGCCTTACTGTGAAAACCAAGACTGAGCGAATGATAAACCATTTTATGGCTCTTCTTGTTTTCGCAGGCTACAGCGTAACGTGACACCATGTTTCAACATTAAACTGCAGCTTCCTGTTTAACAAAACAGACTGGCTAAGGTCCACTTTATACCTGATGGAAGATCCATGTCTGCCATTCAGGGATGTGTTAGCCTTTCATGCCTTTGCTCCATGTGGTAATTAAATAACTATGAAGTCTGAATATTCAGTCACAGAACACCTACATCAGTGAACAGTAACAGCAAAGAAAAGGCACTAAAATAAGCCAATAAGACTAAATAAACAACTGAATTGGATTCTCGAGCATGTAACGTGTACTTGAGAGTAACAGCAGGAAGTGGAGGCGCAGCGAGGCTACGGGGAGAAAAGGGAAATGCAGTCACAGTTGGAGGTCTGCCAAACTCAGAGTAGTAGTATAAAGCATGCCAGCAGTGCATATGGGAATATTATCTAGATTTGAAAACATTTAGTTCCAGTAGATCCTGTACAGAGATCTCTGCTCTCACGCAGATGTGCAGGAAAGGGCGGAGCTCGCTGCAAGGACGCCAATTAGCTGGATCACTTGGTCCAAAGGTTCATCCTCCCATCACGCCTTTACCTCCCTGATTTTAGGGGGAACACCTGGCCTCTATTGCTCAGTATCAGACTTCAGTGTGAAGCTTTGGATGGAAACAGGTTTGCTGATCGCACTCACAGTTTACAGTAAATACCATCACGCCGCCATGAAGTTATGTGATCATTACAGACCTGATAAAGTGCAAACAGTAAAAATGTAAGAATTGGAGAGCTTTGAATCTTCAATCAGCTGTTTGGGTTTATTAAAAATGTTTCACCCCAGCCAGGTGTTTGTGCTGACGGGTGTGTAACGCTTTCTTTAATACCTCAAAGCACACAGAGAGAAAACAACCCTGAACATCTATAAACGACTTACTCCAAATGACACAAATCAAACCCAACACCAGACTTAACAAGAGCGATACAGTGAAACAACAACAGCTCAGGATAGCCGTTGTAAGAATCTGGGGCCTCAGCCCTGGCTGTGACGCTCCTTCTGCCACTTTGCACGGGTTTTAAGAGCTGAGGGGTTCACTTTCTTGGGGTAACTTTGCTAGGACGTCCACTCGTGGGAGAAACT